CTTGAGCCCAGGAGTTGGAGGTTGCTGTGAGCTGTGATGCCATGGCATTAAAACCACAGATAGGTTGTATATAGAAAATTTGAGAGATACAAAAAGTGCAAAAGACCCTAATAAATTACCTATAGGCCCAACATCCATGGATCATAAGGATTAATAGTTTTTTCTATGTATGTTCATATGTGTATGTATGTATGTGTAATATAAACACATATAAGCATATCTATATAAGATTATTTTATTTTACAAAATTGTGATCTGTTCATGCTGTGTGTAAAAGTTAATATCCTGTTTTTTTCATTTATTATGTAATGAATATTACTGCAGACCATTAAGTATTTAATTATCAAATAATATTCCACGATATGGAATTGCAAGAAATATCTATTTTTTTGAGTATTTAGGATATTTCTAATTCTTGAGTATACTAACACTGTAAGTTAGTGTTTTCCAGCCCGGGCCGCCAAACAACAATGATGGCTCCAACCAAAAAAAAAAAACACTTGTATGTTTTCGCATCTGTGATGCTACCCTTAGACTACATTCCTAGAAATTGACTTAGAAGTCACAAGGTATGAAAAATTCTAAGGCTGTTAATGAAATTCGCACTCCAGAAAAGTTAAGTTTACACTTGCATCAGCAGTAAGGGAGAGTGGTTCATCTTCTAAACTCATCAACATTAATTATTGTCACTCTTTAAATCATTATGGATGTGATAGCTGAAAAATGGTATATGGCTTTGATTTGCATTTTATTGATTAGAAGCAAAATTGGACATTTTTCTTTCTTTTTCTTTTTAGATCAGGGATCCTCAAGCTTTTTAAACAGGGGGCCAGTTCACTGTCTCTCAGACCACTGGAGGGCCAGACTGCGGGCCCCGGGACAAGTCCTCTGCTAAGCAGGACAGGCCGTGCAGCAAAAATACCCGGTGGGCCGGATAAATATCCTAGGCGGGCTGCACGTGGCCTGTGGGTTGTAGTTTGAGGACGCCTGTTTCGATAGTCTCACTTTGTTGCTCAGGCTAGAGTACCATGGCATCAGCCTAGTTCACAGCAATCTCACACTCCAGGGTTCAAACAATCCTCTAAACTCCTAAGTACCTAGGACTAACAATGCCTGGCTAATTTTTCTATTTTTAGTAGAAGCAGGGTCTCCCTCTTGCTCCAACTGGTCTCAAACTCCTGAGATCACCTTGGCCTCCTAGAGTGTTAAGATTATAGGCATGAGTTACCATGCCTAGCCTGGACATTTTTCGTATGTCAATTAGCCCTTTGTATTTTCTCTGTAAAATTTCCGTTTATGTCTTTTCACTATTTTCCTA